TAATATGAAAACGGCCATTTAGGAGATCGCTAAAAAGGGGAAGCAAAGGAGATACTTCAGATGTATTCGTCTGGAAATGTATGACAAATTTATGAAGTTTTCCACATTCAACACCTACATATACGAATATACTAGGGCTTTGAGTTGAGAAATTCCGTTTGCTACTTTACCTTTTTGTGTGCCACAAGATATAAAAATATAATATACAGTGTGTACCAGTGCTCACAAATCGCTAACATAATAAGTATGTATATTACATCATCATTCAATCTTCGCTTATCCACTGCTGGACATAGATTTCTCTCATAATTTTCCATCTATTTCGATCTTGTGCCTTTTGCATCAAATTTGATGCAAAATCTTATGCAAAGCAGTATCCGCTTTGTCCATCTATTATCTGTCATTCGAGCCACGTGACCTGCCCAGTTCCATTTCAGTGTTGCTACTCTTTCTACTGCATCAGCCACTCCTGTTCTTTGTAGTAGCTCGCGATTTTGGATCTTGTATCGTAGTGAATAGAGTCTTGTATATACAGGGTGAGTCATGAGGAACTTTACATACTTCTACCATATGTAGAGTCCCTCAGGGAGCATATCATGTGGCCACTAAAAAATGTCAACTCCTCTTCTTTATTAATTAACAGGGTGATTTCTGTAATTGACCATTTATTTCATTTTACTGTAGTGTTTATACGGCTCATTTGATTTTTTTAATTTTTGGATGATACAGTACACTACTATCAAGCATTCGACTGGTATTAGCTAAACTTAAAAATTCCAGGACTGGCTTTGGAAAAATTAATTTAGGATTCGTATTAAATATTACACCCTGTATATATATATATATATATATATTTTAAATGCAATAAGTGATTTTCAAACTACATAAATAGCCAATGAAAACGACATATGCGACAATGTTGTCGCACTTTTATTAAATTTTTAGTGAACGATCAAATCTTACCAAAAATAGAACAACCATAATGAAGTATCAAATTATAAGGTAATTAATTTAAACAAATGTTATAAATTTCAAACATTTTAATTGAAATGATAAACTGAGTTACTGCACAACAAAAAACAGTAACTACTAAAAATAACGAAGAACAATTTAAAAAAGAAACTAAAAATATGTACATAGTTATGATAAACCCATAAATTAAAACTGGAAAAGATACAATAATGGTAACAAAATAAAAATAATTCAAAATAGATTTTCGAAATGGAACCCTGCAGCCTGTACACATTTTTGTTGCCGAATTGTTAATTGACGTATTGAATTACGGATACTCTGGGGATCGTTTCTAATAGTATTACAACAATGTATAATTCTATCAATTAATTGTTGTCGGTTATTAATATTCACTGCGTAAACTAGTTGCTTCAATCGTCCCCAAATATGGTAATCAACGGGATTGAAATCAGGGGATCTTGAAGGCCACGAAATAGGACCTGCACGTCCTATCCACCTGTTGCCATAAACATTATTGAGATGTTGTTTCACTGCCAGTAAAAAGTGTGGGGTGCCCCATCATGCTGAAAATACATCCCTCGGATAGCAACGTTCGCGTTGGCAAGCAAATTCGGCAAAATATTTTGTAGAAAGTTCAAATAGACCTGGCCTGTTAAAGGACCATCAAAAAAGTGAGGACCTACTAATTGGTTATTTATGACACCAATCCACACGTTAACCGAAAACCTTAACTGAGAACGACGTTCTCGAATAGCATGGGGATTTTCTTCTGCCCACACATGTGAATTTCGTGAATTATTTATCCCGTCTCTGGTAAATTGGGCTTCATCTGTAAATAGTGTCCTGTATAGCGTTGGTCGATTATTGTTAATCCATCTACAAAATTCCAACCTATTGATCTCATCTCCAGCATGTAGTCGCTGAACCATTTGAATTAGATATGGTATAGTATAGATTATTTTTTTGTAAGACTCTACTTACTTTTGATTGAGTAACATTGAGTTTTCGACTTACTTATATAGTGCTTATTGTAGGGTTCATAGTAACGGCGTACATAATTCATCTTCCTGCGCTTCATCTACATGTCGCTCTGTTGTTCCACTCGGAAAAGTGCTATTTTCTCGCAAATAATTAAAAACTGACCCAAATGTTGGATGACTGGGAGTTCGACGATTAGGAAATCTCCTGCGATATTCTCTACTAGCAGCCCTACCATTCCCATTACAGCATCCATAAACAAATATTATGTCTGCATATTCTGTGGTCGAAAACTGATGTGGCATTTTGAACGAAAGTAACAAAAGCTCTACCAAAACTAACACAATGTACTTAACGTAGATATGACAAAAGAAATATGTATTCTTGTACACATCAAATAAATTACAATTGATAATGACAATAATGACAATGGGTATAAAATATCAAGAAACGTCAAACGGTCAACGCCAACCTTCATTTTAAACTTTTTTAGATTTATTTTTATTTAGTTAATACAGTTGATGCAATGTATTATTATTTGACATGAAATTTTAATCATTTACAATCAACAAAAACTAACACATACAAGAGGTTTGACTTTTTAATCAATTTAATTTACTATTTATCGAAAATAATGCCCCAATACGATCTATGAGTAAAAATTTAAAATTGAAAAACAATTGATTCTATCGTAGAGATAATACAAAGTGACAGTAAAGATGTTAATTTTCTACGTATTAGATTATGTTGTAGGAACTCATTTTAATTAAAATGTTTGAAATTTATAACATTTGTTTAAATTAATACCTTATAATTTTATACTTCATTATGGTTGTTCTATTTTTGGTAAGATTTGATCGTTCACTAAAAATTTAATAAAAGTGCGACAACATTGTCGCATATGTAGTTTTCATTGGCTATTTATGTAGTTTGAAAATCACTTATTGCATTTTAAAAAATATATATACAGGGTGTAATATTTAATACGAATCCCTAAATTAATTTTTCCAAAGCCAGTCCTGGAATTTCTAGTTTAGCTTATAACAGTCGACTGCTTGATAGTAGTGTGCTGTATCATGCAAAAATTAAAAAAATCAAATGAGCCGTATAAACACTACAGTAAAATGAAATAAATGGTCAATTACACAAATCACAATGTTAATTAATAAAGAAGAGGAGTTGACATTTTTTAGTGGCCACATGATATGCTCCCTGAGGGACTCTACATATGGTAGAAGTATGTAAAGTTCCTCATGACTCACCCTGTATATATATAATTGTTAAAATAAGCTATCTTAGAATTTCAGGACCGGTATACTTCTATGAAGAATTTTACAGAGAAATTCCAAAAAGCAAAATATATATATATATATATATATATATATATATATATATATATATATATATATATATAGTAGTTTTGAGTTTCTTGAACCGTATTATATTTAATATAAAATTAATATTTCTTGGGTTAGGTTCAATAAAGATATGTTACATGTGGAACTAGATTTTATTTCCCATTGCAATTAATTAACGTTTCGGCAGGAAACCCTTGCCTTTGTTTCTAAAATGTGTATAAATATAAGGACAAACAGATATTGTAAAATATGTATATATATATATATATGACTTACCAAAACGTAAAACGTGACACAGACATTAACGAACTGACATATAAAAGTTGATATCTGATATCTCAGATGAGATATCAGTAAACAATGAGATATCAGATATCAACTTTTATATGTCAGTTCGTTAATGTCTGTGTCACGTTTTACGTTTTGGTAAGTCATATATATATATATATATATATATATATATATATATATATATATATATACATATTTTACAATATCTGTTTGTCCTTATATTTATACACATTTTAGAATCTTGACAAAGGCAAGGGTTTCCTGCCGAAACGTTGATTAATTGCAATGGAAAATAAAATCTAGTTTCACATGTAACATATCTTTATTGAACCTAACCCAAGAAATATTAATTTTATATTATATATATATATATATATATATATATATATATATATATATATATATATATATATATGTTACGAGCAAAGCCCGAAATTGGACAATCCTAGCATTGTACGGAAATTATTGTCCACTTCTAGCATTGTACCCCCAAACTGTACAATGTCCGAAATGACCAAAATTAAAAATGATTATCGAAACGCACACCAAATCAAAAATCGAACAATTTGATCTTTTATATTTATATATTATAGAGTTGTTCATTTTCAAATCGACAATGTGATAAAATGCTAAGTCAAAATAAAATATAAATAATAAGAAAAAAATTGTTCAACAATAAATAGAGTGATAATGTTAGTAAACATCGATATGAATCAATATCTGTCATATTCTCCCAAACTTTGATGCATGGCTACTTCTTGAAATTCAAACATTCTACAGCAATTCTTTTATATACAGTCCGCTGATTGTGTCTATTTCGGAGATTGTACAGAAAAGGGGTACAATGCTAGAAGTGGACAAGATTTTTCGTACAATGCTAGGATTGTTCAATTTCGGACATTGCTCGTAACATATATATATATATATATATATATATATATATATATATATATATATATATATATATATATATATATATTATAACCTCTGCTCGCAAACCATTGCAGTGGTGAAGCTTTAGGAGACATTCGTTCTATTTTCCGTGTTTGAATTTGTATCAGCCCAAGTGTCTGCGAGCACGGGAAGTTTAACGAATTTGTCCTCCTAGGCCATATATAGATTTATTCTTTACATATATATATATATATATATATATATATATATATATATATATATATATATATATATATATATATATTACATCTAACTTATATTGCAGAAGTCTAATATGAGTTGCCTATTATTAAATTTAAAATACAATATAAAAGTTAAGTCTTAATAACATCGTTTTTCTCGAAAACTCCCAGTTATGCTCAACAAGGAATGTGTTGCGGATCTTATCTCTCGGTGCAGACAGAAACAACAGTAGCAAAGATCAAATAACAAATGATATTGACTTACCTTGTACGTTCCTAAGTTCTTAACTGCGCAGGCAAATCTGACATTCCTCCCGGCAGCAACGGTGATGTTCTGGATAACATCCGTGAACTCGGGCTCCTCCGCAACCGCTGAAACAACAGGTACAGAATAACCAGCCTGTTACAGATTGTTTAAGATGTAATTTAACTAATTAAGCTCCAGTAGCGAATGACCACTATTATTCGCGCAATTTAAATCAGGCCCGGTACGAAAAATTTATATATATATATATATATATATATATATATATATATATATATATATATATATATATATATATATATATATATATATGTAATATTGTTTGTTTTTTCAATCAGCAAAGTGTCATTAATAAAACTCAATTGCGCTTTTCTCTAACTTTATTATTAGTTGCACAATATTACATTGCCATTACTTTCAAAATGAAATGCCATTTAAAGCTGTTATGTTAAACTAATATTAAATGACGTCTCTTATGGTATTGTTCTGAAGCTATTTTCTTGTGGCATTGTAAATTAATTACTATTTAACTGGGAATAAGCCACAATTAAAGATAAAAATACGTTTATTGACGTTTCAATTTCCACTTCGGAAATCGTTCTCAAAATACAAACAGTAAATTAAACAAATTTTGTTTTTTGTTACATAGTGAAAAATTCTTCTAATAATATACTTTTATCTGACTCATTTATATTGACAATTCAGACATACATTATGCATTTTAAAGTAGACGACTTTAAAATGATATTGCCAATATTGTTGAGTTGTGCTTCTGGGATGACTTTACTTATAAGATAGTTCATTCGATTACATAAAATCAACTTTAACTTGAGAATATCCGTCAGAAAAAAAAATCATAGCATGTAATTCGTCTTTAAAAAGATGACAGTAAATTCTCCTGTTAGTGATTCCATAGTAAATTATGAGGGAAAAACCAGGAAAAAAACCTCATAATACTATACCGACATTGTAAGTATTTGTTCGTGAATTTAGTTTACCTTCAACAAAAATCAAAATTCTGATTTTATATGTTACGTTATTTAAAAAACATAAATGATGTATCCTCTATATGTTACTGATTTACTAATACTGGTATTTTCTTATTAATAACTTCCTCTTTCAATATTGGTAACCAGATCCTACTACATTCTGCCGAGGAATTTGCGACACAATTGGCCTCATTTAGCATAATTAGAGCCGCTTCTTTGATTTTTTTTTTACCATCCGTTTCTTTTAGGACTACATTTGAATTATTCCATTGAGCCCTATGTTCATTATCCCATGCGTGTTTACATATTTGAGATCTATCAAATTCTCTATTTTTAATATAAGATTGGTGTTCACTTATTCTAACATTTAATGGTCTTGATGATTCACCTAAATAAAACTGATCGCATTCACAAGGTATTTTATAAATGCAATTCTTTGTCCTTTCTTGTTCATTGTTAGGTTTGGTTTTGAACAAAATAGATCTCAACGTATTTGTTGTTTTGAATGTTGTTGAAATGTTGAATTTATTTCCTATCCTTTTAAGTTTTTCTGATAATCCTTTTATGTACGGTATTGTTATTTTCCTCATATTATTCCTTGTGTATGCTGTAGGATCTCGTTCTAAGTTGTTCTGTTCTATTCGATCGATTGTTGAAAATTCCCTATTTATAAACGATAAAGGATAATCATTTTTTAATAAAACAGATGTTAACAAATGTTTCTCCTCCAAGAACGAATTTTCGTTAGAACAAGTAGTTTTGGCTCTATCGTATAAGGATTTAATTATTTTTTTTTTACATTAATATTGTGATTTGATTTGAAATTTAAATATTTATTGGTGTGTGTTGGTTTTCTATACACCTGAGTCTCATATCCAGTATCGTTCTTAGAAATTAAAACATCCAGGAAAGGTAGCGTGTTATTCTATTCATTTTCCATGGTAAATGTTATTGTCTCTTCTTTATCGTTTATATCATTTAGGAATGAGCCCAACAACTCTGATCCATGAGGCCATATTGAGAATACATCATCTACATACCTCCACCATACTGTGGGTTTGAAATTTTGTTTAGAAATGATATTTGTTTCAAAATCTTCCATAAATATATCGGCTAAGAATGGAGATAAACTAGAGCCCATTGCTAGACCAAAATTTTGTTTATAGAATTCATTATTTAGTTGAAAATATGTATTATCAGTACATAATGTTGATAACTCCATTATAGCCGATATGTTTAGTCTTGTTCTAGTTGCCAATGAATCATCACTCTCTAATTTTTATTTTCAATACGAAAATAAAATTAAAGATCTATTAATAAACGGACCTTATACAAAATTAACAAAAGATCCAACAAATCCTTTGGAAAACAGAATATATAGAACTTTATTCAAGTTTAAAGATGTTTTAACAAGTTATCAGAGAGGATTAATTACACCTCATTACAGTAAGACTCCTCATTTTTATGGAGTACCGAAAATTCATAAAACGAATATACCACTTAGACCCATTTGTAGTACCATGAATTCTCCTTGTAGTGAACTATCAAAATTTTTATTAAATATTTTAAAACCATTTACAAATAAAAATGACACATTCATAAAAAATACACAACATTTTTTAAATAAATTATCAAATATTGAATTAAATTCAAATAATACTTTGGCAAGTTTTGATATAAATAGTTTATTTACGAATGTGCCATTAAATAAGACTTTAAGTCAAGTTCACTTAAAGACTATAGTCAAGACAAAATTAGAGAGTGATGATTCATTGGCAACTAGAACAAGACTAAACATATCGGCTATAATGGAATTATTAACATTATGTACTGATAATACATATTTTCAAATAAATAATGAATTCTATAAACAAAATTTTGGTCTTGTAATGGGCTCTAGTTTATCTCCATTCTTAGCCGATATATTTATGCAAGATTTTGAAACAAATATCATTTCTAAACAAAATTTCAAACCCACAGTATGGTGGAGGTATGTAGATGTATTCTCAATATGGCCTCATGGATCAGAGTTGTTGGACACATTCCTAAATGATATAAACGATAAAGAAGAGACAATAACATTTACCATGAAAAAGGAATATAATAACACGCTACCTTTCCTGGATGTTTTAATCTCTAAGAACGATACTGGATATGAGACTCAGGTGTACAGAAAACCAACACACACCAATAGATATTTAAATTTCAAATCAAATCACAATATTAATGTAAAAAAGGGAATAATTAAATCCTTATACGATAGAACAAAATTACTTGTTCTAACGAAAATTCGTTCTTGGAGGAGAAACATTTGTTAACATCTGTTTTATTAAAAAATGAACATATCGAATAGAACAGAACAACTTAGAACGAGATCCTACAGCATATACAAGGACTAATATGAGTAAATTAACAATACCGTACATGAAAGGATTATCAAAAAAACTTAAAAGGATAGGAAATAAATTTAACATTTCAACAACATTCAAAACAACAAATACGTTGAGATCTATTTTGTCCAAAACCAAACCCAACAATGAACAAGAAAGGACAAAGAATTGCATTTATAAAATACTTTGTGAATGCGATCAGTTTTATTTAGGTGAATCATAAAGGCCAATAAATGTTAGAATAAATGAACACCAATCTTATATTAAAAATAGAGAATTTGATAGATCTCAAATATGTAAACACGCATGGGATAATAAACATAGGGTTCAATGGAATAATTCAAATGTAGTCCTAAAAGAAACGGATGGTAAAAAAAAGAAAAATCAAAGAAGCGGCTTTAATTATGCTAAATGAGACCAATTGTGTCGCAAATTCCTCGGCAGAATATAGTAGGATCTGGTTACCGATATTGAAAGAGGAAGTTATTAATGAGAAAATACCAGTATTAGTAAGTCAGTAACATATAGAGGATACATCATTTATGTTTTTTAAATAACGTAACATATAAAATCATGATTTTGATGTTTGTTGAAGGTAAACTAAATTCACGAACAAATACTTACAATGTCGGGATAGTATTATGAGGTTTTTTTCCTGGTTTTTCCCTCATAATTTACTATGGAATCACTAACAGGAGAATTTTACTGTCATCATGTCATGTGTTTGTCTTTTTAAAGACGAATTACATGCTACGATTTTTTTTCTGACAGATATTCTCAAGTTAAAGTTGATTTCATGTAATCGAATGAACTATCTTATAAGTAAAGTAGTCCCAGGAGCGCAACTCAACAATATTGGTAATATCATTTTAAAGTCGTCTACTTTAAAATGCATAATGTATGTCTGAATTGTCAATATAAATGAGTCAGATAAAATTAAATTATTAGAAGAATTTTTCACTATGTAACAAAAAACAAAATTTGTTTAATTTACTGTTTGTATTTTGAGAACGATATCCGAAGTGGAAATTGAAACGTCAATAAACGTATTTTTATCTTTAATTGTGGCTTATTCCCAGTTAAATAGTAATTATTCTCTTATGGTAGTAATAAAAATTAATGACGACAATACAAGAGTCACTGTCAAAAGCTTTACTTTTTTTATCTTTTTTTTTATTTCTCTGCATCAACCACTGGGGTTATTAGCCTTAGGTTTATGATGCAAATAGAGAAAATAAGGTACATTTTAAAAGTCATGACTTACAACAATATGGTACAATGTATATGTACGTACATGTTACAAAAATTAAATCATAATTTATTATAGAGTTTACAGTAATTTAAAAAAGACATAACTTCATTAAATCTTGTAACCAGTGCTTCTTTCAAGCTGTTTCTATTATTGTGTACTCTGGCCATTCTATTATTATATGATTGCTGTGAAAGGTTTTTGGCATCTGATGTATTTTTATTATATTTCTAATTTATTGTCTTTAATCTAATTCATTGTCTGTATTCTAATTTATTAAAACTCACGATAATTTATTATCGATTTATTCGATTTATTTATTAAATAAAAACTGTACAATTATTTTATTACGTTTCGTACATCTAAAACCGCGTTTCGCGAGCTTCTAATTTATCTTCTTACTAACTAACTCCTCAATGAAAATCTTCCGTTATTTATATGAAATCAGGTGTTAAAATGGAACATCGCCGAAGGTTCGA